AGATATGATGTAGATGTAGATAGATGATAGATGACAGATAGGTGACAGATGGATAGATATGATGTAGATGTAGATAGATGATAGCACTGAGCTCGCTGGCTGGCTGCCCTACAGACCCTGCCCAATCACAGCTGCCCCACCCCCCGCCCCTGGCTATCTGCCATCCTGACTTTTACAGTAATTACCTGCTTGTCTGTCTTTATAGCTTAAGTATTCTTGTGTGCATTCTTAGACATCTTACCCCAGTAAAACATGTCATGTGTCTTCTAAGTCTCGTTTAATCTAGAGCACAGCCCCCCCACCCCATCTCTCTTTTTTCTACAATTTATCCATTGAGGATCTGCTCATTTGACCCACACAGAGGACAGAATCCAACTTGAGTTCCCAGGCCCCTCTGGCTGCGTGAGGATGGTGGGAGTGAGGGTGGAGGCAGGGAAGCCAGTGGGAGGTGTGGGGCTTGGATCCGGGGCTGTGCCGGTGTGGAGAAGGGTCCACTCCGGGGCATATTTATTTAGAAGGTGGTGTGACAGCATTGGCTGCTGTGCTGGATTGGGCCTTGAGCTGACATCTTTCCTCCTTCACACCCCAGCCTGCACCCCAGGAAAATGCACCCCAGCATCAGAGATCGTGCAACAAACAATACTGCAGGCTGGAGGCGCCCAGATACCCCAGCACAGAGATGAATACCCCTAGCTCCTGGCTCTGACCATATGTCCCTCTCGCTGCCTTTCTCACCCCTCCCTTTCTCTCCCTCACACCCATCTTTTCCCACCCACTGTCCTCCCCCTTCATCTTCTGCCCCCATCTCCCTTTCTCTCCTCCCTCACACCCCTCCTCCCACCTGCACTTAACTGAAGTATAGTTCCTATTTCCTTGTCATGTCACTGCTAAAAGTCAGGGAGCTGGGTGTGTGCTCCTTTTCCTTCCCTTTCTCTCAATACTTATTTTCGGGGAAACACTAAGCCAGGCTGCTGCGAGGACCCAAGCTTCCAGCTCAGCAGCCCCGCCTGAAGGAGCTGCGCCAGCAGCAGCTGGCGCTGGATCACCGGGTCCAGCACCATCTTTACTCTTCCTGTGAGTGCAGTGGCCTCTGTCACCACCCTCCCGCCCAAGACCTGGCTTCCAGCCCTCTGTGTGCATGTCTGCTGCCCAGCTCTGCTAACAAGAGCCAGGGCCAGGCCCAGCTGAGGGAGAGCCTGCATGGGTCCCTGTCCCCATCTGGTGACAGAACAGCATCCACCTGCTCCCCATCAGTCATTGATTCCATGAACAGGTGCTAGTGACAGTGGCAGCAAGCCAGGCCTGGCCTTCCAGATGCTCCTCCTGCTGGAGTGAAGTTGGGTGCCCAGGCTGACCAGCAGATGCCTGACCTGTGTGGCTGGCCAGCCGGTGGTGGGGAGGGGTGCCCTGTGGCTGCAGGGTTGCTGGGCGACCCTGGGAAGCCCCCGAGCCCATCTGTAAAGGGGTGTAGCACTGGCCTGCAAAGGCTGTGACACAGCGGGAACCAGAAGCAGTGACCCTAGTTTTCGCAGTGTCAGTGCCCACATCCCAGTCCCCAGCCTCAGGACCTGAGTCCTGCAGAGTCAGCGTGTTTCCAGTCCTGGGAGGGGAACCGACTTGTACAAGATGCAGTTGCCTCTCCAGGCCTGGCACGCACAGTCTGTCCTCCCCACCTGTGCCCCGGCCCCTCCTCCTGGGCATTCAAGCCGTGGGGGCTAGCCCGGCACGCCTCTGCAGTGAGTGGGAGCCCCGCCAGCCCCTGCCGAGCTCCAGGGACGGGGGCGGGATCCCGGGTGCTGCTGCAGCCAGAGGTAGGGAGGGGAGGGGACAATCTGTCCTAAGCAGGTGGCTCCCAGCCCGGAGGGAAGGCCTCAGGGGAGCACTGGCCAGCTGGGAGTTGGGCAGATCAGAGAGGCCGGGCTGGCTGGCCAGCAGAGGCTTTGCTGGTGGGTGGGGATGTGGCCGACCTCAGCTCAGGCATGGTCAGGGGTGGGGTCACAGGTGGCTAGAGGCTGGAAGGGGTCAGCAACAACCTGAGGTCCAGGGACTGGCAGCTCCAGGCCCCTAAGGGCAAGGCCTCAGTGGCTTAGGGCCAAAGGGAGTGGGAGGATTGCAGAGAAAGCCTGGGGACAGGGTTCCCCAGCCCCACAGCCCACAGGATGAAGCCTACAGACTGGTACCATGCAGTCACTACTCAGCCCCCTGGGATGGCATCTGCAGAGAAGGCACCATCCCAGGTGGGGCCTGCAGGCTGCCTTGGGCTGGCCCCGGGAAGGCGCGCTCTCCAAGCTCCACCTGCCTCTGCTACCATGTCTTCTCCCCGGCAGCAGGTCTCAGGGTGGCCAGCATCGAGGGCCTTCCTATGCCTGAGTTTCTTCGATCACTTCCCAACAGGGACCTTCAGCTGATGCAGAACTAGAACTGAACACCCCAAAAACCCTCCCTCACCCTCCAGGGCTGATCCTGCCTGCCGGCACCCCTGTCGGCCCTTCATCCAGGCGTTTCAATCGGGGCAGGACAGGAACAGAAGCCACGCCAGGAGGTCAGGAGGGAGGAATGAACCTGGAATCAGGAGCGTCTATGGTGGGTGGAGGGCCATGCTCAAGGGTCCTAGCCTGGACGGCCCCCACAGTGGCTGCAGCTTCTCCGCCTCCCCTCCTGGAAGCTGCAGAGAGGACTCTGGGACTGAGGCTGCTGCAGAGAAGGGTCTCTTTGCCCCTTTCTGCCCCTCCTGCCGTTGGCAGGCTGTGAAGCACAAGTGCGAGTGATTAGCGGCACCCATTTGACACCAGACCGTGGCTGCCAGGTAGCCTGGGAGATGTAGTGCTCAGTGTTCTGGCCCCACCCTCACAGGCCCCAGGAGGACTGCCCCCCAACAGGCCCCAGGAGGACTGCCCCTCATCAGGCTCCAGAGGAACTGTCCCCCCTCCACAGGCCCCAGGAGGACGCCCCCACCATGGGCCCCAAGAGGACGGCCCCCACCCCACAGGCCCCAGGAGGACGCCTGGAGACAGAGGGGGCAGGATCTCAGTGTTCTCTTCCCCATGCCCCAGAGTCAGGGAGAGAGGGGCCACAGTGGGGTGAGCAGCCATGTGGGGGGCTCATTCTGCCAGGGCAGCGTAGGGTCTGAGTGCAGAGATGCAGAGAAGTCCTGGGAACACTGCTGGGCAAGCAGCGCTTTGACAGAGCAGTGCTACGCAGGCTGTGCTTGAGGCCCTGCGTCGTGTAAGCGCGGGTGAGGTGGTGACTAGGGCTGGCCCCCAAGCCTGCCTCTCTGTGCCACACCACAGGCCATCGCTGGCCCCTTCATCTGTAATTCTCCATAAGCACTACTGCTGTCATGAACAGATGAGTTAGCCAGGTGGTGGCCGGCCCTGCAGAGGACTGACCTCAGCTCCTATAGTAGGACACAACTCCCGCCTGCCCCACCCCCAAGTCTTGTTTCACACTTTCTCCTGGGAGCCGAGTCCTTCAGGACTGAGAAACGCCTCCCCAGGCTGCACAAGCAGCATTGTCGTCATTCCCAGGATGATGGCCTGCGGGCGTCCCGAGGCAGAGGACAAGTCCCTCTGGAAAACCCCAGCGCTGGAAAATACAGACTCATGATGATTCTGCAGATCGACAAGTATTCTTGTTTACCCCAAAAAAAGGCTGAGGTGGGGACGCTGACAGCAGGGGGCAGGGGGACATTAGAGGCCTAGGCCAGGAGGGCGGTGTGTGGGGAGGGGAGGCGGTAGCAGCTGCGGGAGGCAGTCCGAAGTCCCTGCTTCTGGCTGCCATGTGGTCTGGGGCTCTGAGCCACAGCTTCCTAGTCTGTGAAGTGAGGTAACACAGAGTGGCAGGGAGACAGTGCTGACAGCAGAGGCTGGTGGGGGTCGTCACCCTGCGTCGGGGGCTAGGTGAGGAGCTGCCGAGAGCCACAGCTCACCCTGCCTGGCCAAATGGAGGAGGGCCCAGAGGTGAAGCCACAGGCAGCCACCCACCCATTCTTTCTTTCATACTTTCATTTTTGCATCCACAGGGGCATCTCTACAATGGGATCCTGAGGCCTGAGGCTGGCAGGTGACACAAGCCAGGCCAGCCATTCCAACTCAAGGGAGAGGGTCTCTGTGTCCACAGGAAGGGCCCAGGGGCCCCAGGCACTGAGAGGGACACAAGTGGAAGTGGCCAAACCCTAGGCTGCAAGGAAGGGCATGAGGAGGCTGTGTGAGGACCTCAAAACGTAGCAGTTAAACGTTTTTCATCTCTAAAGTTCTAGAAGGTCCTTTGGGTTGTCTTGTCCTCAGAGTTCAGATCCCCTCTTCAGCCTGAACTCATGCTAAACAGCCTTACTTTATAGTCTCTGCCAGGGGGTCATTGCCACTCTTCAGGGGTGTGGTTCTGAGTTGGGAGCTCTTCAGGTGAGGCTGCACGGTGGGAACCCATGATGCCTGCGGTGAGGGGGCCGGCCTTCCAGAGCAGTGGGGAAAGCCTTTAAGTTCACGTTCAGCCCCCAGGTCCTAGAACCTGTGAGTCATGTAGATCAAAGCCGTAGGCCCTGGGCAGCAGACCATTAAGTCTGCCGTTGCCTGAGGGTGGGGCATGGCCCCCTTGGGAGGAGCCAAGGATTCCAACTGCTTCATTGTGGTGACAACAAAGACAATGAGGCTGTCACCAGGAAGGGACCTGGCAGAGGAGCTGGTGGAGAGGTAAAGGGTGTCCTGGGGACACGCCAAGTGGAGGGCTGCAGGAAGGACAAGGATAGGGTGAGAAAGGGGACAGTGGGCAGATGTGGCTTGAGCTCAGACCGGCCTGAAGTCCCGTCTCTGCCCTTGGCTGGCTGTGGGACCTCGGGCAGTGACTTCCTTCTCCTCAGTTTCCTCATCATGGGCCCCCTGGAGGCTGTTAGAGCTCATGGCACACACCCCACCCCACCCTCCTGTGTTCGCAGAAGGCAATGGGAGGGGAAGTGGGGGTGTAAGGGGTCACGGGGCTGAGGAGTGTGCCCAGGCCCAAAACACTGCCACCTGTGAACCGAGCCCTCTCCGCCCAAGCATGTGGGTGTCAGCACAAGGCCTGGCGATGGCAGGGGTGGACAGGCTGAGGGGGTAGACAAAGGCCCAGGCAGGGCACAGTGGGGCATCGGCATGGAGCGGCGTGAGGAGGGACAGTGGTTGGAGAGGACATATGGACTTGATGTCCTAGGAGGCCTGGGAAGGGAGCGAGGCCAGGAAGAACCCTGGCTCCAGGTGGTGGGTGGGAAAGCGAGGCTGGTGGGGCAGCCAGAGTCCGAGTCACAGAGAACACCCTCTCAGAGCGGGAGAGCAAGACAGGTGAGCGGTAGGAGCCTCGCCCATTTAATAGCACTAAGCTCCTTCATAGGCAAGGTCCAAGTGAGTCTCACAGAAATGATAAATAGTTAAAAAGAAACCTTTAGAAAAAGAAACACTCTGGTCCCCTCGGAGAGTGGGTAGGCTGCAGGCTGGATGATGGCAGTAGGCCAGGCGGCTGGCCGGTGGAAGCCTCTGGGCTGAACGGCATGCAAAGTCCAGTGTCCAGGGCCTGATCAGGGACCCCCCAGGTCTTCTGCCAAGAAGGTCAGCAGGTAGCGGCTGATGTGCCTCTCGATGATGACGGGGGAGAAGCCAAGGACGCGCCGGGCCCCTGGCAGGACCTTGGAGTCTGGAAGGCATGTGGAAGGACAATGAACAGAAGCACCAGCATGGGGCCTGCAGGTCACTGCTCTCACTAATGATGTGAACGTAGAGTTTGCTCTCCTCTCGCCCGAGCCCACGAGGGACTCGAGGCGTCCAAGAGCTTCCTGCCCGTCTGTCCCCAGTGGCAATGCCTGGGGTTTTAGCTGAAAGAAGTTACAAGCAAAGGCCCTGGACTCTCCAAAGCTCAAATGTGTCACCCATGTCAGCATGAAGCCCAACAGTGGCTGAAGTTGCTGTACTCCCACCTACCTAAGGGCTTCCTCGGACACCTGCAAGGGGTAGGAGGGGCACAGCCGCCAGTGCCCAGGACACATGCACATGTTCCCTGTATACTCAGCAGACTCAAACTCTCCTCTGTAAATGAGAGGCTGGGGGGGACCCAGCCTGGCCACAAGGAGAGGGTCTCCCCCCAGGGCCTGGGAGGCCATGCTGGCAGCCTGCCCATCTGGTGAGGGTCTCAGGGTTGGCAGGCCCAAGTCTTCAAGGGTGGAGTGTCCCTGGGTGAGTGCAGGCCTCGGGGCCACCCACAGGGCTGGGGTGGGCAGCCCTGGGTTCCATGCCTGCTCACTGGTATCCTCAGCTGGGTGATCGGCTCAGCTCTGGGATGCCCTGGTGTGTGATGAGGACAGCTGGAGGGACCCACCTGCAGGGACCCACCTGCAGGGACCCGCCTGCGGGGACCCACCTGGAGGGATCCGCCTATGGGGACCCACCTGGAGGGCAGCAGTACATGAGCAGGGCCAGTCCCGCAGCCACGCTGAGGCAAGCCAGGAAGCCCAGGGGTCCTGGAGACAAACAGGTGTGGTGGGTGGGGGTCCTGAGCTGTGTGGGGGCTGGGCTGGCACGTGCCGTCTGTTAGGAGGCAGGCCATCTAGGGGCCAGCAGAGGCCACACCGGACAGCAGGGGAGGCCAGCCAGGGTGGGGATGCCAGGCCCGAGGAGATGCCTGGAGGGCCTGTCAGCGAGCACTTTAGAAGGAGTCTGTCCATCAACAGAAAGCCAAGAATGGAGCCTAGAGAAGGAGCTGGTGCCAGGGTAGGGTGCTGGGAGACAGACAGAGAGAGAGACAGAGACAGAGAGATGGCAGGAGGGAAGTGTTACCCCTGTCACTCAGCTCCCATCTCTCCACGCCTGAGTCTAGCTCTGTGCCATCTGAGTTTTCTGGAAACAAAATCACAGAGCAGGTTAGTTGTAGGGTGGGCCAGGGAAGAAGGTGGGCCCCACACCCTCAGCCATTGCCCAAGGGGAACATCGAGAGGCCTGGGATAGGAGGGTGAAGTTGGGGCGTTGCTGGATACAGGGAGGCAAGGCTACGCAGCACGGAGCTGTTTCCCTGAGGGCAGACAGGTGTCAGGCATGCAGGCAGCTGAGTGGCACCTGCCCTCCTGGACCCACGCCCTGCCCACATCTAGGGAGTCGCTCTGGGGTGGGAGACTTGGCCCCTAGTCTCAGAGCACCTTCTTCTTTGCCCAAACCCGTGACCGGGAGGGCCATATAGCCACGAGGCACCACAAACACAACATGCCAGAAGTCCAACTGGTGTTAACATCACAGTTGCCTTTGCAGCCTGTACTTGGGGGTGTGGAGTAGGGGTCTACGGGTGAACAACGTACTGGACCAACTCAAGGACACCTGGGAGCCAGGAGAGGCACTTCCCTTTAAGCAGGGGTGTGGCAGGGTCACATCTGTGTTTTGCACTTGACAGCTTGGCAGAGAGACCCTGTCCCCACTGCCCGGAACTCAGGATAAGGCCAGCCTCCCACAGAGCCCTTGAGGCCAAACACTGCAAGCGTGGCCAGGCCCCAGGAGCGCCCACTTCTCTCCTGGGTCTGCACCACGTCTCCATGGGCCCCCAGACCTCAGGGACCCGAGGAAAGCTGGCATGCTGGTGTGTGACCTAAGCGAGCCACCTTGCTCTGTGGACCCCATGAGGCTGACGGGGCCACGAACTAGAGCCCCGCCAAGACTGCGGGGCAGAGGCCTCAGGGCGCAGCTCTAGGACCTAGCCACCGCGGGACTCCCACACCTCCCTGGTGAGGCCTGGAGCCTGAGGGTGCTCAGCCAACAGGACGGTGATCCCTCCAATAGGCAGTAGCTGCAAACAGACAGCGCACATGCCCTTGACCCAGCCTTTCCTATCTGAGAATTTACTCTACAGAAACGTTCACACGGGGCGCGCATTTCACTGTAGGAAGAGGGCAGAAGCAGCCCACTGCTCTGACCTGCCGCACACACACAGGACCCCTCACTGCTGACGGCTGCCAGGGCATGCTGAGCAGGCACAGCAAGGCCTGGTGGGGCCCTGGGTGCAGGGACTTACGCAGAGCGTGCCGGCTGGGCAGGCAGCTGTGCAGGGGCTGAGCGTGGATGTACAGGGCGCGGTAGAACTCCTGGCAGTCCCGCTCGCCGCTCCGCTGCAGGTGGCTCAGGAGGTTGCAGAGCCGCACACGCAGAGCCGCCCTGGGGTTCCGAAACTGAAGGAGAGGGAGGGTCAGGCGAATGGGGGCTGGTGGAGGCTGGGCTGCTGGCAGCTGGGGTGGGTCACCCCCTCATGTCTGTCCCCAGCCTCAGCCTCCTCATGGCTTGGGGACACACAACTTCCAAGGTGCCAGTGACAACCACAGCCACCTACCCCATACCCATGACACCTGAGCCACCTACCCAGCACCCACGACACCTGACCCACCTACCCCACACCCACGGCACCTGAGCCACCTACCCATCACCCACAACACCTGACCCACCTACCCCACACCCACGGCACCTGA